ATTATTATTATTATTATTATTATTATTATTATTATTATTATTATTATCATCACCATCACCATCACCATCATTATTAGATTCTGTTGTTTTCAAGTACACTGAGGACTTCTGTACCGGAGACAAATCCCCTGTAAATCTAACCACAGTTGGCCAAACGAAGGGCTACAACTCTGTTTCTGAAAACTCAAGGTCTTTCCTAACCAAACTAACTTTGAGAAATCCCCCAAGGCCACAACTCCCAAGTTATCCTGCCCTTTTCCCAACAAGGGATTGCGGATGACAAGAGCCCTGGTGGCGCAGCGGCTGGAGTGCCGCATTGCAGGCTGACTCTGCCCACAGCCAGGCGGTCAATCCCAACTGGCTCAAGGTCAGCTCAGCCTTCCGTCCTTCCTAAGGGGGTAAAATGAGGACCCAGGTTGCGGGGCCAGTAGGCTGACCTCTGTCAACCGCTTAGAGGGGGCTAGAAAGCCCTGGGAGGCGGCAGATCAGCCGACTGCAGCAGGAGGACCCAAGGCCATCCCTGGAAACACCAAAGAGGTCCTTCCATCCATCTTGGCTGCTGCCCTCCAGGTGCTGCAATGGAACCAGGATGCCCAATTCTGGCTGGGGCCACGTGAGCTGCACCCCCCCCCCCGATGAAGAGCAGGCGGGGGCTCTAAGCCCCCATTTTCTTCGGCCTTCCAGGCTGTTTGGTGCCGGCAGCTCCTGCCCCGTTGCTCAGCCAGCCCCCCCCCCCTCGCTTACCTGGAGAGCTGAGGGCGGTTGGTGCCGGCGTTGAAGAGGGTGGGGGAGGCGTGGGTGAACCACTTCTCAGACAGGAGGTTGTAGGTCTCAATGGCCGCCTCGATGTCGTCCTTGTGGATCCCCACCGAGACCCTCATCAGCATATGCTGGGGACGCTCGGCCACTGCGGGGAGGGGGGGGCAGAGAAGGGGGACAGCTTTCAGTGGGGGCAGAGAGACGTTCCTGAGGAGGAGCCCAGGGCGAGGCTGCGACAGGTAGGCCTCACCTATTGGGCCAAGTAAGAGAGACCTGTCTCCACGCTTACACTTAGTCCTTGGCTTATGACCCAGGTTCAAAGTTTGGGGACACACACAAACACACACACACACCCTGCAGTCATGTCTTTTTGCTGCAAAGCAGCGCTTACATCTGGACTTGGGCACCCCGTAGAGAACCATGAGTTCACTTAGTGACCGTGGCGTTTGCTTACTGACCCCTGGGGTTCGTCCAACCACCACTGCACACAAAAAGATCACGAAATCGGGTCGGTGTCGTGTTGACCTGCTTCACAACTGTCGCGACTGTCAACCCAAATGGGCAAGGCCCATTACGGTCGTAAGTGGAGGGCTGGCTGCCTTTCACCTGATTCGGGTGCCTTTGGAGGCCAGAGAAGGTGGCAGAACTGCTCCGGGAGGGGACGGGGGGACAACTCCCACCCCTCTATCCACAAAAGCCAGGCGAGAAGAGCGAGTGGAGGGGTCAGGAGAGCCTCCGGGGCTGGCAAGAGCCAAAGGACCCCAGGGGAGCCCCAGAAGAAGAGGGGGGGCTTCCAGAGGGGCAGGGAGGCCGAGGCCTGACCAGGAAATAAGGACCAAGCGTTCCCCTCGGCCTGCGTGGGGAGGGTCCTTAAGCGGCCCCTGCCTGGAGGGAGGCTCAAGCACAGGAACTGGGCCTGGCTGGTCTAGGGGAGAGGCGGGAGAGCAGCCTTCCAAGAGTTGAGGGAGGGGCTGCCCCAGAGAGGAGGAGGAGGAAGAGGGGGTCCAGCTCTTCTCCAAAGCCCCTGAAGGCCAGAGAAGGAGGAATGGGTGGAGACTGACCAAGGAGAGATTCAGCCTGGAAATAAGGAAGAGGAATTTCCTGACAGAACCATCAACCGATGGAAGAGAAGTTGCCCTCGGAAGTTGTGGGAGCACCATCACGTGAGACTTTCAAGAAGAGACTGGAGTGTCGGGGCTCTTGCTTGGGGGAGGGGAGGGGGGGTTGGACTACATGACCTACAAGGTCCCTTCCAACTGTTATCCTCTTAAATAAGTCTAAAACCTGGTATTATCAATATTTGTAGCCCTGGATTTACCACAATTTGTTCACTGACTGTTCAAAGTTACAACAGCACTTTAAAAAGTGACTTACGACTGGTCCTCACCCTTATGACCGTTGTAGCATCCCTACAAGTTGCATGACTGAAATTTGCAAGCTCGGGCTCCCAACTGGATTGACCACGGCTGCAGGGCCCCAGGGGTCAAGCGGTTACCGTGAGTGACCATCCCAGCCAGCCTCTAACAGGCCAAGTCAACGGGGGAAGCCAGATCTACTTAACGACCATGTGCCTCACTTAACAACTACAGGGATTCCAACAACCCTGGCCAAAGTTGTGAAATCGGATGTGTCTCCCTTAACAATGCCTCACTTAGCCACAGAAATTCTGGCCCCGGTTGTGGCCGTAAGTCAAGAACTACCTGCACGAGGGAGGCACCCACCCAGGTGGGAGGAGAGCTGGGCTGGCCCCGCCCCTTTTTCAGGTGTTACGAAAAGGCAGGAAGTTCCGTGAATTGCAGTTCTAGGGAAGCGGCCTCGAGCGGCCAACTCGTCCAGGACCTCAACCGGGGGGAATCTGGCGAGCTGCGGGGGGGGGGGGTGTCCCACGGGAGGCCCAGCCACGTAGGCCGGTAGCTGGAACTGGGGCATGGAAAGGCCACTGAGCTTCTGAAACGGCCAGAAACCTTTTGAGGAATCAGAGTTCAACTGGTTCTCGCTTGGCGGAGTCCCTTCGATGCCCGGCAGTCCCAAAAGGCGCCGCCCAGGTTTCCTCAAAAGCTCAAAAAAAAAAACAGGTTAAGGACCGTCGTACAAAGAACTGAGCCCGTGGCACAAACCTTTGGAATTGATCTTCAGAAGGTAGGAGCGCTCCAGGGTCTGAAAGGTGTTTTTTAAAAAAAGTCAGGGTCACCAAGGGAGAACGAAACCATACGGACATTTATCAGCAACAACATCCTTTAAATCTATGGCCAGCCCCCAAATATGCTTGCCAGAACTGCCCCACATCCTCCGTCCCCCCCACCCCCGGCAGAGCCTCTCGGGAGGCGGCTTCAAAGCTCCGGCAGCCCCTCTGCTCTTCCTCGGCCTGGAGAAGGCCTTCCCGGCTGCCCTTCCTCAAATGCCCGCCCCCCCACCCCCCAAAAAAACCCCACCCCAGAAGTAAAACTAAGCTTATAAATCCTTGTTTTTATTTTAAACGAAGTTTTTTATTTTTTACAACAAACAAAACATAAAAACATAAAACCCTCTTTCAATTATATACACACAATGTATCAGTTGGTTACAATCTTTTGTGCTATCCTTTTTTTACCGTTACGCACAAGTTATATAAATTCTCACCTTATCAATCTAGCTTGTGCTTATGTAATATCAATTATTAAACATTCATTTGACTAAACTATTTTTCCATCATTTTATACGAGATATTCTAATTTTCATTATGATTTAACCTTATACATTCAGCCAATAGTTATATATTTTATATCATATTCTATATCAATGTATTAACTTTTATTGTAAGGCTTACTAATCTATTTCTTTACCGTGTCTTTTTATCTAACCATTGATAAAATAAATCCCATATCATATAAAATTGTTTATCTTCTTGTTCTCTAATTTCAAATGTCAATTGACTCATCTCGGCACAGTCCATGATTTTCTTAATAACTTCCTCCTGCGTAGGTATTTTTCCAATTCTTAGCAAATACAATTCTAGCCGCTGTTAAAACGTTTACAATCAATTCCATCAATTTTCTAGCAAGGATAGATGGTTGCATACAAGGTTATGTGAACTGCCCTGTTGGCTGGTAGACCAGCAATGGGGACCAGTAAGTAACTGGGACCATCAACCTCCATTCTTCTATACTTATCCTGTCAAGAATGATCTGCCCTCTGGCTGTGGAAAGAAGAAAAAAGGAAGGAAGGAGAAAGAAGAAAAAGGAAGGAGGGAGGGAAGGAAGGAAGGAAAATGGAGAGAGAAGGAGGGAGGGAGGGAAGGAAGGAAGGAAGGAAGGAAGGAAGGAAGGAAGGAAGGAAGGAAGGAAGGAAGGAAGGAAGGAAAATGGAGAGGGAAGGAAGGAAGGAAGGAAGGAAGGAAGGAAGGAAGGAAGGAAGGAAAATGGAGAGGGAAGGAGGGAGGGAGGGAGGGAGGGAGGGAGGGAGGGAAGGAGGGAGGGAAGGAAGGAAGGAAGGAAGGAAGGAAGGAAGGAAGGAAGGAAGGAAGGCAGGCAGGCTTTAAACACAAGGAAAAGTTTTCTGATGGAAACTTTTGGGAGAAAAGAAGCGTGTCTCTAGAGAGATTGTGAGTTTTGAAGAAGAGGCTAGACAATCACTGGTTATGGAGGGTTTAAATAGTTTTCCTGCATATTACATAGAGCTGGACTAGATGGTCTTCCAAGTTCCCCTCCACAACTCCGTGATTCTTCCAACTACCCCCTCGCTAGGCTAGAAAGCGGGAGAGAATGAGTTTGAGGCCCACCTGAAAGCCAGATGGGTGAATTCAGGCCAGCCCCTCTCGCTCAGCCCAGCCCACATCACAGCGTAGTTGTTTGGGGGGGGGGTGAAACGCGGAGGAGGAAGGAGAATTGTGTGTGTTTGCAATACACAATGCTTCAGTTATTTGTAACCGTGACAGAAGACAGGATACCACTAAATGAATAGACAAAACTTCCACCTTACCTTAAAGCCAAAGTAATTGTAGGAGAAATCCCGATCGTAGATTATTGCAGAATTCAGTCGCTGTGGGGGGAAGTGAGAAAAACAACAGGATCATCAGATTCGACGCTGAGACTGGCCCTCAGCCCGCCGGAGCTCCAACAGGCAGCCCTCTTGTTCATAAATGTGCTGAACTTCAAAGAGCCCCGTGTGGGGGATCTACTCTGACTTCCGAAACCGCTTTTCCTCCTCTCTGTAAGGGGGGGGGGATGGAGGCCTCCTGGCTTCCGGGCTGTGTCGCTGCTCTTGAAGGGTCTGACCGGGGTGACTGCCAACGGAGACCCCTCGCCTTAAGGCACCCAGGGCCTCTCCAGGGCCAGGACTGGGCACGAGGCCCTGCCGGAAGAGCAGCCCCCGTCTGCGCTCATCACAGGGGAAACGTCAGCATGACCAGCCCCAAAGGGCAAGAGAGCCTGTCCCATCTCTCCCGCACACGGGGCTAGAATCTGTTGCTCCGCGGAAGCAGAAGGACTCGTTGTGGGGCCCTTGGCGCCCTCTGAGCTTGGCTACTTTCCCGCGGATGTTTCCGTGACCCCCCCAGGGAACCGCATCAGTGCCAGAAGGGGGGGGGGGGGGTGCTCTCTCAACCACCTAGCCAAGGAACTCCCAAGAACCCTCCCACCCACACGGGCAAGGCAAGGCCATGGATGTAACACAGAGCACGCACCCCTCCTCTTCTGGCAATGACGCCGTTGCCTAGTTGGGTCGTGAAACGTCTGCCCGAAAGCCTCCCAGCTCAGAGAGCCCCAGGGACAGCCCCCCCCCACTGTCTCCCCCTGCCCAAAAGAAGGTCCCCTCAATCAGCACATACGTCCTTGTTGGCCTGCACAATGTCCAGGGTTTCTTTGGAGATCATGGGAGAATGTTTGCGGCTGTGGGGGTTCACGTACTGGTAGAGGTCTTCCATCACATCTGGAAAGCAGCAAAGGCACAACGGGTCACAGCACGGCCACATGAGCCACGGCAGGAGGGAGCCACACCGAGATGGCGGCCCAGAGGCAGCAGACCCCATTTCCCACTTATCTATTCGCTTCTTCCTCAACACAGGTGGTCCTCGAGTTACGACTGGTTGTTTGGCAAACTTTGGAAATCAGATCAAGGAGCTAGAATGGCTTTTCGCCTTCTCAGTGGTGGCACCGGGCAGGCTAGAAAAGCCCAGCTGGCCCCTTGCAGCACGGACCTCTTAGGGTCTCTTAGAACACCTTAAATCAGGGGTCTCCAACCTTGGCCGCTTTAAGCCTGGAGGACTTCAACTCCCAGAGTTCCCCAGCCAGCTTTGCGATCCCAGGAGTTGAAGTCCTCCAGGCTTAGAGAGGCCAAGGTTGGAGACCCCTGTCTTAAATGACCTGTTAATCTTTGCCCCAGTTGTTATTATTTGATTGCATACTTATACTTTTAGCTTCTTATAGTATAGCTACTCCTCAACTTACAGCAGTCCACTTAGTTCATTTTTCACAGCAGTGAAAAAAGCGACTTGTGACTGTTTCCACGCTTGCGACCATGGTCACGTGACCGTTGACATTAAACTTCAGCAATCACCTGGGGTCTCCACCCCTCCCTGCGAACACTCACCACTGAAGACTTTCTTCGTTTCTTTGTGCAGGTTGGAGACCGCGATGCGCGCGGCCAGGATGGCGTAGTCGGGGTACTTGGTCGTGAGAGTGGCTGCCGTCTCCGCCGCCAGCGTGTCCAGCTCGACCGTGGTCACCCCACTGTACAGTCCCTGGATCACCTTCATGGTGATTTGAGCCTGGCCAAAACAAGGGAGCTCTTATTCGTGGCAAACGGGCTTCCTAGCTGCGTAGCCTTTTTACAGCCTACTAAATCTTCCTCCTGTAGCCACCCTGAAACACAGTGCAGTGATCCTCCACTCACAACTCTTTAATCAACAACCGTTCCAAGCTATAAATGCACTAAAAAAAGACGACTTACAATCAGCCCTCAAACTTACCATTGCCACATCCCCCCGATCACATGATCAAACTTCATCTATATCTCTATCTCTATCATCTATTTTGCTATCTTTCTCTATCCACCTATTTCTATTCCTCTATTTGCCTGCCTACCTGCCTATCCATCCACCTATCTATCGAATATGGATTTTTATGTTGTGGGATTTTAATGTTGTGAGTCTCCCAGTCACTGTGTCTGAGTTGGGCAGCCATACAAATTTGTCAAATAAGTAAGAGGCTGAGTATCGATTAAGGCCATGAGCTAATGCGGTATCCTCCGTGGAGGGGATGGTTTCACACCTGTAAAGGTGCCCTTCCTCCCCCCACCCCCCCTCCAGCTGATCCAAGCCATCCCTAAGAGCAGATGTCCATCTAAATAAGAAACAGACAGAGCCTCTGGAAGCAAACTAACCCCCTCATCTCAGTATTGTTAATACCAGTTTTATCTGGCATAAATCCAGGATAGGAAACCATTGTTGGGGTGCCATTTATTTCATTTCGTTTCGTTTCTATGCCGCCAAGAGATTCGGGGCTCCCCTCGCTTTCCTGCCAGGCCTGGCAGCAGCCTCTTCCCCGCCAGGGCAGAACCCAAAGAGGAGCCGGAGAGAAAGAAACTCACGGGATCCACAAAATCCAAGTTGAGGCCGTAGCAGAGCTTCTGGATCCGGGAGGTGATCTTGTCGAACATAACCCGCTCGTGGCGGCCATCTGGCAGGGGGGGAAGCGACAGGCGTTGGAGCAACGAAAGGAGGCTTGAGGCGGAAGAGCAGCCCTGCCTGGGGGGACCCCAGTTCTGCCCCATGGTCCCTCGCTCCTAAGGGCCGGGGAGGGGAGCTGGGGGGACGCCTGCAGGCAGAACGGGGGGGGGGGGGGGCGGCCCCGCCCCCCCCCCCCCTTTGGGGACAAGCTCCCCCCCCCTCCAGGAGTTACAGGATCTCTCAGGACGGGCTATGAGAAACCCCCACGCCCCCCCCACAGCCCTGCAAGTCCCCCTGGTCGAGCCTCCCCGCTTCCGGGGGCTTCTGGGGGGGGCTGCATTCGCGGGGCTGGGGGGGCTCCCAGGCAGAGGGAGGGGTCCTCCTCCTCCCTTCCTTGGACTTTGGGAACAGGCTGCCCCCCCCATTCGGGAGACCCCCCCCCGTGATGCCCCCCTCAAGCCCTGCCCCCCCCACCTGGAGGACCCGGGCCCTCTGGCCAAGCCTCGTCCTGGGGGGGGGG